CAGGATTATCTTCTGTGTCTGTGTTAATTGGTTTCCCTTTTCTTTGTTGAAGAGGGTCTGTGCAGTCTTTCTGCCTAGTCCTCCATCTTGCCGGAACGTAGTATGTTTGTTTTAAAGCTATAAAATTATTTCATTTACTTATTTATTATCTATCTTCCCTCATAAGCATGAAAGGGGGAATGTCTTGGTCTTATCAACCATTATAACCCCAGTACCTGCATAATGTCCGGCAGCCACTACTGCCAAATTCAATGTTTTGTACACATTTCTTTGCAATGTTTGCATTATCTGTGCCTCTGGTCCCATCCTTAGTTACTATTAATTAATAATTGACTCTGGAGTTTTTAGAAAACAACACCTTAAGCACTATTTTTTCTATCTTGGATGAGTGGTTAATAATAGCATTGAGGGAAAAGAGCAGAAAAGTTTTCTCCAGAAATAAATGATCGCTCATGAAGCCTTCCAGAGTCCCAAGACCCAATCATCTTTCCCTAAGAATACAGGTGGTCTCCAACTTCTGTTGTATTTGAGTTATGATGAACTGCACTTAGAACCGTTTTTTTATGTGTGTGTATGTCTGTGTACAGCTTACTATTAGTAATATGTTCTACATACAATGTTGCAGTGAGTAATTTGCTGATGTTACCATTTGCAGATGTTCAGTGTTATGATTTACTGTTAAAAACACTGCCATATAGCAGGCTATGAAAAATTTAAAAAAAAAAAAAAGTAGTATTTGTCTTTCGTCAGAACTTACTCCATCATAACTCGGGACTACCTGTATTTAAATGTCTAAAACCTACCACTGATTACATTTTTTAAAGAATTTTTAGCAGCAGTTGCATTTTAATTTATTTGTCAATGTGGATGATTTCAACTGCCCTTTTATTTATTTTTCTTCCTCTGGTAATGGCCATATTATGTCTTTGGAGGAGCATAAATGAATGTGGTTTAATCGTGCCTTTAACACTGTCCTTCAAGTTCTGAGCTGTAATCGCTCCAGTTAGAGCATTTCATTTTTTATCAGTCCAACGAACGGAAAATCACTTTAGGCATTGAAAACACTGACACTAAATGGCACTTGATTATGCAAAATGAGACCTGAGATTGATCAGTTAACTCATGGTGAGAAATGCTTCCTACCTCTTATGGATTGAATTATGTCCCCATAAACTTTGTGTTATAAATCCTAACTTCTGTGCCTGTGGTTATAATCCCAAAGGGGAATGGGATGTCTTTGTTATGTTAATGAGGCAAGGTTAGTATAGGGTATATCGTGAGTCAGTCTCTTTTGAAATATAAAAAGATTAAACAAGCAATTGAGAGAAGCAGAGGGGGACACATAGATGTCAAGACAAATGGAGATCTCCAAAGAACCAGGAAGCTGAAACTAAAGAGACAAGGACCTTCCTCCAGAGCTGAAAGAGAGTGGCGTTCCCTAGAAGTGGTGCTCTGAATTCAGGCTTCTTACCTCCTAAACTCTGGTAGCATAGTGGCTAAGGCACTTGACTGCTAACCAGAAGGCTGGTGGTTCAAACCCACCAGCCACTCCTTGGAAGGAAGGTTGGGCAATCCTACTTCCGTAGTGATACTGCCTCAGAAACCCAAGGAGGGGTTGCTATGAGTCAGGGATGACTCGACGGTACACAACAACAACAACAACCTCCTAAACTAGGAGCTCTGGTAGCATAGTGCCTAAGGCACCTGACTGCTAACCAGAAGGCTGGTGGTTCAAACCCACCAGCCACTCCTCGGAAGGAAGATGGGGCAATCTACTTCCATAGTGATACTGCCTTGGAAACCCAAGGAGGGGTTGCTATGAGTCGGATCCGACTCGACGGCACATAAAACAACAACAACCTCCTAAGCTGTGAGAAAATAAATTTGTTTGTTAAAGCCATCCACTTGTGGTATATCTATTATGTTGTTGTTGTTATATGCTGTCGAGTCAGACTCGACTCATAGCAACCCCTCCTTGGGTTCAACCCCTCCTTGGGTTTCCGATATGGTATCACTACAGAAGCAGACTGCTGAACCTTCATTCTGAGGAGTGGCTGGTGGATTTGAACTGCCAGCTTTCTTGTTAGTAGTCAGTTGCTTTAGGCACTGCGCTGCCAGAGCTCCCAGACCCTACCTTTTAATGTTCCCGTACTGCCAGACTCAGTAAGTAATTTCCTCTTTGAGGGAAAATATTTTGCCAAAGTGAGAGAGAGTTGAGTCAACCCTAACGTTATTTGTGGGACAGGTAACATCTGATCAAAGAGTCTTTTAACAGGCAAGGGAGAGGCTGTGTTTGAAAGACATGTTGTGTGCTGTGGAGTTGGACCTGACTCATAGCGACCCTCCTTGGGTTTCTGAGGTGGTATCACTACAGAAGTAGATTGCCCAGCCTTCCTTCTGAGGAGTGGCTGGTGGGTTTGAACCTCTAGCCTTCTGGTTAGCAGTCAAGTACCTTAGGCACTACGCTATCAGAGCTATATCACTCTAAAAGTAGATTATTGGAATGATCGCAAACTTTCTCCCCTCCTAGAATTACCAAGTCAGTGAGTAGACATTCTCATGGCTAAGAGGTCTGCTTCGTTAAAAATGTGTTTAAGTCAATTATGGTACAGCTATCCCATGGAATACCATTAAAATATCAAAATTGGCGTTTTATAAGAATATTCAGTGACATAGGAAAATGTAAGAGAAGAAAACCAGGGTATGAGGCAACATAAAACAACAATCTTATATTTGTTGAGAAAAATATATATAGCTCAGAAATACTTTGAAAGGAAGGCTACACACTAAATGTCAGTGGTTAGCTGTACATAATGGGATGTTCATTGGCATTTCTTTGTACGTCTTAATATTTTTCAAATTTTCTGTAGTAGGCATGTATCATTTTTATGATTTTGAAAAAACTTATTTTTTTCCAATGTGTTTACATTTCAAGGTCCAGGTTCTTCAGGGGAAAGAGCCCCCCTGTTTTCTGCAGTGCTTCCAGGGAGGAATGGTGGTGCACTCGGGGAGAAGGGAAGAAGAAGAAGAAAATGCACAAAGTAAATCACTTTCACTGTTGGAATTAGATTTCTCTCTCTCCTTCTCTCTCTCCCTCTCTCCCCAACCCCCACCCCCAAATGTATTTTTATAGGCAAAAGGTTTAAAATAAGTCTCTCTTCAGATAGCTGTGGCTTTACCCGTGAAAGCTACCTAATGGTTTCCTTGTAAATCAGTTTTACGAGAAGCACATAGCCCCAGTGGAGTTTACTTCAGGATCTAATTTTGCGTGAATGAGGCTGGAAGATTACTTCATGTTTAACTGAATCCTCATAGTGGCTCTGTCTATTCTTTTTAGAAGGGGGGAAAAAGTGAATCTTCTTTTATAAATCATAAGATTTTGTGTAGGCCAGGCTCCAGCTAAAAAAGTGCTCCAGGGCCTTTTAAACAGGGCCTGTAATATCACTTAACGAGATATTTTATGCGTTTTGTAAAAACAGTTTTTTCTGTATGGCCATTTGGAAACCTGCTTCTAACTCCGAAAGGATTTGCCTTCTGGAATGGCAATGAGGCTGGACACTGTAGGTGCCCAGCATGACGTTATGTGTGGCACAGCCTCCGTCACTGTTCTGCATTCCTTGCCACCAATCCCTTTGCGTGGAGGAGGCTGATGGTGGTTGGTGGTGGATAACAGGCATTTAGAATGGCAGCCTTTCCTGTCTATGGTGGACATCCTAACTCTGTGCTGTTGGTGCCCCCTGCAGGTGAATGGAGGCTGTACTGTGTGCGAGGGGAAGTCCCCGTCGAAGGAAATTTGATGGAAGTTGCCTGTCACTGTAGTAGCCTGAGGTCCAGGACTTCTATGGTTGTTCTCAACGTAAACAAAGCCCTCATTTACCTGTGGCATGGATGCAAAGCTCAAGCCCACACAAAAGACGTTGGAAGAACTGCAGCAAATAAAATAAAGGAGCAGTGAGTATTGAGTGTCTGTAGCAAACTCTCCAGCCACAAAGCCTGTCCGGTGGCACACACTGTGAACGGTCCCTGGAGACCTCGTGGGGCTTCATTTATCATCTTTCTCAAGACTAGTTATCTCTCCTACTCTCCACCCCAAAGAATGATGTTTGAAGATGAAATATTTTGCTGTACAATACAAACAGGTTAAGGCTGAAAAGATTTTCAAGTTCCCAGTGGAAGCCCCCTGTGTGCTTAATGTGACTTCAGCAAATGTCGTCAGAGACGTCTGACATGCCTAACAGACATAACACTCTTATCAGGCAACGCCTCCAAATTTCAGGGCTTCCCCCACCTTTTGAGGATTTACCTTCTGACAAAGTAAATAGTAAGAGGCAGCACAGAGGCCAAGAGAAATGACCCCAACACATACTTTATTTTCTTTCTTTATAGGCATGACTCTCTGTTTGAATCATAAGCCTTTAAAGAGAGAAACCTTCAGATATCTTTTAGAGATTCAGGATTACCATTTTGTCAGAACAGTGAAATGTTTATAAGCATTAATTAGAGAAGAGTTTGTGAAACCACCAAGTGGGTCAAACCATGAGATACCCTTTATAGAGAACAACTGTATGTCTCTAAGGAGCTCTCGTGGTGCAGTGCCTAAGGCATTTGACTGCTAACCAGAAGCAGCCACTCCACCAGAAGGAAGACCGGGCATTCTACTTCTGTAAAATTTACCACCTTGGAAACCCAAAGGGGGTTGCTATGAGTCGGAATCGACTTGATGACAGTGAGTTTGTTGTGTATGTCTCTATCCTGAAGGCAGCCCCCTGCTAGTGAGTTACTGCAATTTCTAGGGCAGCCCTCCCACACAGCACACCAGGTATTGGGGACTTCAACCCAGTGCCTGTGGTTCCTCTCCTTGACAGGTACCCACAGTTGGTTGACCACCTATAAAGGTGGAACTCAGTGTGATAGGGTACTTAGGAACTCAGGGAAGGAGTAAAACTGAAGCTAGGAGAAATAAGATGAAGCCAAGGGTAAGCACAGTCTCTAGAAGTATGCTGTAATGTCCCCATCACTTCTCTAGACATGAACTGCAAATGTGGCTCTGCCCTACCCTGCAGAATGGGAAACACAAGCCGTCAAAGAAATCCCAGTGTCCACCAGTTGTTTGGGAGCTGCTCAGCATTTTCTTATACCGAGACCTGGAAGGACCTTGGTAACATCCTTACAATAAAAATGAAGAGTTTCCTAGGAACACAGTACATCACCAAAGTGCAATTTGTTTAAAAAAAAAAAAACCTCTCAGGGAGCCAGAACAGTGCCATCTGGGCACACTGCCCTATGACAGCTATAATCTCAGCACTGCATGGGCAGGACTGAGAGAAGAAGGCAGGCAACTGGTGTGCCACCAGGCAGACATCATTCTCTGGGGTGGAGTCGGGGGGAGACAACTTGTCACTGGGGAGGGATGATAAATGAAGCCTCCAGAGGCTACAGAGATTTTTCACATGGAACACTGAGAGAAAAAAAAGAAAATAAGCAAAAAAAATCATTCACTTACTCATTCATTCAACAAATATTTATTTGAGCTCCAACTTTGTGCCAAGCACAGTTGTGGGTACTAAGAATTATGAGTGAACAGGTCCAAGTCTTTGTCCTCTTAGAGCTTACATCCTAGCAGGAAAGGACAAGAAGCATTAGCTATGGGCTGATATATATATAAATATATGTTATTCCCATTACATATTATTGTACATTCCTCCCTAAGGGCAAATCGAGTTATCGCATCCCCCAACACGCACATACATTTATAAACTGCAGAGCAATTTGTTTCATCCATTAGTAAAAATTGCTTTTCATTAGAAAGAGGAAGAAAAGAGATGGTAAACTGATGAGTAGGTTGAGTCTTGAAGAATTTTGTGCTAGGACATTTGCAAAGCTTATTAAAAACTGCTGGAGTTTCTCCTCTACAGGTGCCCCCTGGAAGCGGGCCTGCACAGTAGCAGCAAAGTGACAATCCACGAATGTGAGGAAGGATCGGAGCCACTGGGATTCTGGGACGCTTTAGGAAGGAGAGATAGAAAAGCCTATGATTGCATGCTACAAGGTAACACAACACTCCATATTCTTTAATCATTATTTTAAAAAATCACTCATTAATTTATCCAATAAGTATGTATTGAGCACATTATTCATTATGTAGAAGACACAATGAATGAGTGTCAAGTTAGATTGGAAAAGGTTGAGTGGCCAGTGAGGAGATGAGGAGGGAATGTTACTGACTCGTTTGAGAAGTTGAATAATGAAAGAAGGAAAATATAGCCACTGAAAGGGCATCTGGGTGAAGAGAAAGACTTGGGCACCATATGTTTCTTTATATTACCTATGTCTGTAGTGGTTTTGGGTGGATCAGAAGGCTCCAATTGAGAAAAGAGATTAAACTGTAGAGATGGGATGATTAAAGGAGGAAAATCCATGAAGGGTAGGGATCAAGGGCACAAGGGAAACTTTGCCTTAGGGAAGGGGGCTTTGTTCTTGTTTAGACATCTACTGCCTGCCTGACTTTACATGGAATATTGTGAATTGGTCCTATTTCTGTCTCCACTGTCAGCTAGAGATGGGGGGTGGAGATGGCATGTGTGTAGACAGACAGGAAAGTGGTCCTTGAGGACACACGTGCCTGTACGCAAGGCTGGCTGCTTTCCTATACCTCACTTTTATTTTTAAAATTTTTCTGTTGCTAGTATTGTTAAGTCAATTATAAGTCAGTTCAGGCCTTTCCCACTCCCAAGATAAGTAAGTACTGTTTTTCTTTTAATTATTTAATACTTTACATTAATCCTTCAATTTATCCAGAATGTAGTTTGATGAATATTTTGTCCAGTCTTCTCTCCTAAGGGGCTAGTTTAATGTAGGCACCAAGACAAGGGGTTCTGCACTCTGAAAACCGCCTTCTTGTTGGGTGCTACTGAGTTGGTTCTGACTCATAGCAACTCCATGTGAGAGTAGAACTGTCCCATAGGGTTTGCTTGGCTTGTAATCTTTACAGAAGCAGACCACCAGATCTTTCTCTGCAGAGCTGCTGGGGGGCTTGAACTGCCAACTTTTCAGTTAGCAGTCGAGCACTTAACCATTGTGCCACCACAGCTCTTTTGCAAATTTAGGTAAAAGACACTGCCTGCCAAGATCTTAGGACTTAGGTTGGGACTGAGACCTCAATAGTATGTTGTCAATGAGTAAGTTTTTTCTCTTTTATTGCTTTTACTATTATGATTAAAAAGGACCCCTTCACCTCCAAGCTTAGATAACTTCTGCCAATTTTTCTACTAATTCTTTGTCCATGTCATGTTTTACATTAGTTCTTCAGTCCACCTGGAAATGACTTTGATGCACATTTTGTCTTTTGCTTTGTTCTCTTTTCTTTCAAAGATCCTGGAAATTTTAACTTCACGCCACGCCTGTTCATCCTCAGTAGTTCTTCTGGAGATTTTGCAGCCACAGAATTCATGTATCCTGCCCGAGATACCTCTGTGGTCAATTCTATGCCCTTCCTGCAGGAAGATCTGTATAGTGCACCACAGCCAGGTAAGGCCAACAGAAGGGGTAACAGCAGAAGGTACAACTTCCAAAAAGCCTCTTCATTTTACTTTAGCACTTTTTAAGCAATTTCTGTTTGTCAAGTACTCTGCCAAACTGCTTTCTTATATTATCTCATGTATCCTTGTACCTAAACCTAAAGGAAGGTCATATCATCTACATATCATCTACATATTACAGTAAAAGAAACAGGCTCAGTTACTTACCTTGCCCAAATTTATCAGTTAAGAATAGGTTGAGTGCAACAATGTCAGGCCTGGCATCTCTGCTATTCACCCAGCCTTTCCCTCAGTCTTATTGTTTCATGGTCCTAGTTGACTGCCACTGCTCCAGCCATCATATTTACATTCAAGACAGAAATAAGGGGGAGGGGAAAAGAACAGTGATAGCCATGTCTCTCTCCTTTGTCAGATAGAGCAAGAGCTTTCCCATAAGCCCCCAACCCAGTCAATGTCTGCTTATACCCCATGGGCTGAGGCTCTATCACATGACCACTCCAACTGTGAAAAGCAAGTGGTTAGCTTTTCCAGGCCCTGGAAAGAGGAAGTGAGTTGAGAATATCTACTGAGTCAGCCAAAGAACAAAGTCTGCCATGCCAAAGCACGACAGCAGGGCCAAGACTCTAGCCTATGTCTTCTGATTACAAGATCAGAACTGGTTCCACTAGACCACTGCCTCAAGACAGAAATCTCTGCACTCATTCCAGTTGGGATAGTCACAAGAAACCAGGCTATGTAGACCTTCCACCCGCTTCCAGTCAAGTTTGAGATCAGCTATCCCTGCACTGTGGTGTAGTCCCTCTTACACCAACAGCCCAGGTCACACCTTCACAGCTTGCCTGGTACATATCTCATCCTGTAGGGACGTGCCTTAAAAAGAGAGAAGGTCACCACCTTCATCATCCAGTGGCTCAGGGTGGATTATTAACTGTCATTGGGCTCTTAAAGTATGTGGCTTTCACAGAATCTTGAAAGATATGCTGGGAAAGGACTCATGGAAAAAGAGTCAGGCTGACAATTTGAGGAGAAATAGTGAGAGGCAGAAGAATTTCGATACTTGAAGCCCATTTCTCTCGTCCAGCAGCCATAACGAGGCATATTAAGTATGATCTGTAGCGCCAGCATGGTGCACTCTCCAGTTTTAAATATACTCTTTGGAGGTATACCATGCTAACAACTCCTCGTGTTACCTCGTTCCACCCAGATCACAGCTCTAGCCATCTCCAGATGGTCATGGCTGGCCTACCCTACAGGTGAGCTAGGGAAAAGGAAAAGAAACTGCAGGAGAGGTATGGAGAAGAGAAGAAAGATGGCCACATCATTGCTGTCACACTGTCAGAGAAACTGATGTCTTCCTAAAACTGATCAAAAAGCCAATGTAAATATTCTGATCGCTTTTTAACTATTTTTAGTAGTAGTGCTGAAAAATAAGATCCATAGTGTCTTAGTTTGTTTGCTAGGGCTCCCATAATGTAATACCACATGGGGTTGGCTTTAAAGAACAGGAATTTGTTGTCTCAAAGTTTTGAAGCTACAAGTCCAAATTGGCATTGGCCCTTTGGAAGGGTCTTTCCTTGTCAATAGCCCCTAGCCCTAAGACCCTTGGCATTTTCAATAGCCCCTAGCCCTAAGACCCTTGGCATTTCTTGGTTCTTGGCTTACAGACAAGACCTCACATGGTCTCTTCCCTCTAAATGTCAAATATATGTTGTGCTCTTTCTATGACACCACTCAGAAAGGATTAGATTTAGGACCCACCCTAGTCCCTTATTTCTTATTAACATAACAAAAGGAAACACCTATTTCCAAACAAGAAATACGTATTTACAGGTATAAAGATTAGGACTTCATCCTAACTTTAGGAAAAATACAGTTCAATCCATAACACAATGTAAATTTAGCTGTTTTTATTAAAAATTTCTAGTCTTTTAAATAAAATGAAGATACCAGTAATTAATTTCTTATCTGAATTTTTAAGGTGTCATTGATTAAGATCACTGAGTATGGCACAAGAGATTTTCCTCTCTTGTAATAAAAGAAAAGGCTTTCAAAAGATCAAAAGAAAAGGTTTTCTCTGCCCAGAGGCTTTTCCTGGCTTACCTTTCAAAGGGCTTAGGTGTCATGGAGGCCTTCAGTTTGCCCCTTTGCTGCCTTAGCCTGCAAGCCTGCAAGTGTCATGAGGGAGCTGCTGACTGTCTGGGTCTGTTCTTGCCCCCTCAGCACTGTTCCTTGTCGACAATCACCATGAAGTGTACCTCTGGCAAGGTTGGTGGCCCATTGAGAACAAGATCACTGGTTCTGCCCGCATTCGCTGGGCCTCAGACAGGAAGAGTGCCATGGAGACAGTGCTCCAGTACTGCAAAGGTGAGTTCCCTCCTGGAGGGTGGAGTTGCCAAACTAGCAAGTGAACTAGAAGTGGGTTGAGGACATGCTAGGACCTCAAATGGACCAGAAATGGGCCAGGGTGAGGAGGCAAGCTAGCCACCTGCAAGGACTGAAAGCAGATTGGAAACAAGAAGGGAGTCAGACCCTGTGTGGATGTGGATGTGGATGTACATGGCAGCATGAAGTGGGCTGGGGGGTGACCTAGGACCCCATGTAGACACAGCAGTATGAAGTGGATGAGGGGATGAGAAGTGGGCAAGGACCCTGCTAGGCCAACCCCAAGCATGCTCTTGCTCTGTGTACTAGGCTCCCATCCAGAAGCTAAAGCTTCAAGATGGTTTCCTGCAGACTTGGTCCAAATCCCAGACCATTCCTTTCTGTGACCTCCTGAGTGCATTAGGCAGTGTTAATAATGTCTGGCAGATAGTGAGGAAACAAATTTTTTCCTTTAACTTTTTGCAGCTTATTAATTTTGAGATTAGTGGATTCTTGGCTGCCAGCACGCATGAGAATTAGTTTTTCTCTTTTATATTATAAGGCTATGAGGCCACCTCACTTGTTACCCTCAAGGTTAAAGGCTGTATTGTGGCTTGCCCTGAACTGATTAAAACCCTTTCACGCTCAGGATTAATTGTGCTAGGGAGACAAGTAGCCCTCCATCACAACATGTTATCTTCATTAAGGGCTACACTGTCAGAGGAACAGAAACTCCTCAAAACTAGTGGAAAAGCTCATATAAACCTTTTTATTATAAATCAATTTAAATCAATTCTCAGCTTTTTACTCTACCATCTCCCTGAACTTTGGACTCTTTTTAATAAAATGAAGGTAAAACCGAAAAAACCCACTGCTGTTGATGCTGTTGAGTCCATTCTGACTCATAGCAATCCCCACTCATAGCCATCTTATAGCCATAGTAGCCATAGCAATCCCCCTTAGGTTTCCAAGGCAGTAAACCTTTATGGAAGCAGATTGCCCTGTGGAGTGGCTAGTAGATGTGAACTGCCTTTGAACTACCAACCTTCTGGGATTCCAGAAGCCAGAAGCATTTTGTTAGGTTCTGACACTGTAGAGTCAGAGTCAGATTAAGTGACCTGTCCCTGGATAAAAGTGGGCTCTTCTAGTGGCACAGTGGTTAAGGCATTTCACTGCTAACCAAAAGGTTGATAGTTTGAACCCACCAGCTGTTCTACAAAAGATGTAGAGAGAAAGATGTAGAGATGTAGTCTTCTCCCATAAAGATTTATAAAGATTTACAGCCTTAGAAACCCATTGTGGCAGTTCTACTCTGTCCTAAAGGGCTGCTATGACTATGAGTCAGAATCAACTTGACATACATGACATGAGCAGAGCATGGAAAACACACATTGGGTAGCCATGAGTTTTTTTTATTATATTTCCATGGATAAAATTGATTAGTCAAGAGTTCCTTCCAAAAGTTCCAAACAATGACAAAAAGATTTCAAGGGAAATCAGAGAGAGACAGTCTTTGTGCCCATTCTGGGTCCACTCACCTTTGCATTCATTCTGCATTCTGTGTACTACAGGAAAAAACATCAAGAAGCCACCCCCGAAGTCGTACCTTATCCATGCTGGTCTGGAACCCCTGACATTCACCAATATGTTTCCCAGCTGGGAGCACCGAGAGGACATTGCTGAAATCACAGAGATGGTGAGCACATTTCCCTGTCCTCTCAGGCGAGTCTTGAGAGTCTTGACTTACCTTGTGGAGAAGCATCCAATGGTATTTTCAAAGTGAGGAGGTTTTTTTTTTCTTTTTCTTTATCTTTATTTTCTTTAACAAGTCTACCTAGAATTATTAGCCTAGGAAGAACAAATCCTAAGAGCAAATCAGGTCAGGTGAACTGTCCTAGCTGGTTATTTATTTTCTACATAAGTAAAGTAAAAAATTTAAAAGCAAAGATGAGTTTACTGACTTGGAAAAGATACATAAATAGAAACGAAATATAGAAACTGGTTATCTCTACATTCTCTAAATTCAATTCAAACCTGTCACTTGGCATTACACTTCTTGAGCACCACATAAGGCACAAGGAAATCCTCATCTAACTGACATTAGAGAAGGCAAAGGCATAATAAGCCTGTGATTAATTAATACATTCAAATAACTAAATGAGGAAATATATTATGAATTACTCATTACAATATATTGCTCATGCTCAATATTTTATTAATCTTGTCTTTTTTATGAGACCACCTGCTAGTATCACATGTGGCATTTCATAACTCATAACCTCTATCTACTCTATCTATTTACCAAATATTCCCCAACAACACAGAAAGAGGATGCTTCCTCTAGCTATGTAACTATGTAAGAATCATGCAAACAATGCTGCTACTCCTAAAATCCTAATAATCCTAAATGTCACTCTTTAGCCAAATGGACATGATCCACATGGGAAATGGGCCAACCACAGGCCTCATCTCTGCCACCATCCATCATAGATAGCAGCATGGTTCCATTCACTATGAATCAACAAAACCTGCACGCTATAGAGATTACAAACATTGCCTCACTCATTTAGTCTACTAATTTAGTCTAAGTTCAAGGACATAAATAACTGGCCATCAGCAGTTTGAACCCACCAGCTATTCCATTATTCCATAGGAGAAAGGGAGAAAGACATGACAATCCAATCTGTCTCTGTAAATCTGTGAAGATCACAGCCTTGGAAACCCTATGGGGCTCTGTCCTATGTCTGATAGGGTCACTATGAGTCAGACTCCACTAAATGACAGTGGGTGGTTTGGGTATGGGCTGTATGCTGTTGCTGTCTGGCACAAGCTGGATAGGCTTTCAGCCAGAGAACTACACTACCTTGCTTTCCACTTCAGTGAATCATTGTCTTAATGAACATTCACTGAGTGCTCACTCTGTGCCAGGCACTGCTCCAAGTGCTTTACATTTATTTCCTCATTTAATTTTCTCAGCAATCCTTTAAGACTTATTAGTATCCTTATCTTACCAGTGAAGAAAGTGAGGCACAGAAACATGAAACACCTTGCCCTAAGTGGGAGAGTCAGGACTCAGATGCAGGCACCCTCACTCCAGGGCCAACCCTCTATATCAATATCATGTTCATCTGTTGTTGAACAACTACAAGTCATTCATTCCCCTCAGCTACCTACCCAAAGGGATGTCAGCTAATCTGGGGTCCCAAGTTTATTTACCCAGATTATTAAATATACATACAGGTTTTTATTTTTTTATTTAAAAAATCTTGATTTAAAAAATCTTGATTCAACTCTATTCTATGACTATGATACTCTATGTTGCTAGCTTCTAGCTTCTATCAAGTTACCAAGTTAGCCCATGGTGACTCCATGCACAACACAACTGTTATAACAGAAATACCACAACTGGATGACTTTAACAAGAATATGTTCTTGTTCTCTTACAGTTTAGGAGTGTAGAAGTCTGAGTTCAAAGTGCCAGCTTTTTTTTTTAGGGACTGGGTGAAGGCCCCTTGACCTTAATTCAGGCAGCTGCTGAGGCTGACAAACCCAACATGGCAGGCCACTAGTCCAAGTCCAGAAACAAACAGTCCCAAGATCAGTCAGCAGACCACATCCCATCCCTGAATCATGAAATCATGGGGAGTAAGAACATCCAGCCTTCCAGCCACACAAAACCACAGCCACAGGCAAGGTGAACTACAACCTTAACTAATTAACTAAACCATAAAAAACAAAAACCAAACTCTCAAGTATCATCAAGTAGGCTCCAAGTCATAGGAAACCCTCCTTGGGTTTCTGAGGCAGTATCACGTATCACTATGGAAGTAGATAGATTGCCCCATCTTCCTGGAAATCACTATGGAAGTAGATTGCCCCATCTTCCTTCCGAGGAGTGGCTGGTGGGTTTGAACCAGAAGCTTAGCAGTCAAATGCCTCAGGCACTATGCTACCAGAGCTCCCTAACTAAACTATAGGAAAAACAAAACATTACCTGGCCTTGTGCCATCCCCATTATTGGTTGCAGAGATCAGACCATTATAATCCATATGTTTCTCACTGGCTGATTTTCAGAAGTAAATCACCAAGCCTTTCTTCATCTGAAAACTCCACTGAAACCTGTTCAGCATCATAGCAACACACAAGCCCCCACTAATAAATAGATAGATAGATAGGTGGTGGTTGCATGGGAGGTGCATGGGAGGTACATGAGGTACATGAATTGAGATTCACAGCTGGATCTCCACATGACCACATGAAAAACAGACATTCTATCCTATCACTGACCACTGCATGATTTTTTGTAAGATTAATTTTTAAAATATTTTTGAACAAATTCCATTATGTGGTTATTTCTGGTATTTATACTTCAGATTAAATAATTTTGTCATAATTGTCATAATTGACACGTGATGTTTTTTGACACGTGATGTTTTCCAAGCTTTTTTCTTTTTCTGAGGCAATCCTGAGAACAGGAGTTATTTGTTATTTTAAACTTCCTTATAAACTTCCTTAGAAAGTGGGAGACCTGCAGGGCTTTCAACAACTCATTTAAATCTCAGAGTCATCTTTTCTTTCTCAGAGAAAGGAAGATCTTATTCCCTGTCCCTCTAGGCTGAGGCATGGATTACAGAGTTCTATACAGTATTCATATTTGTAGTTTAGTGGTAGAATTCTGGACTTCCATGTAGGAGACCTGGGTTCGGTTCCTGGCCGATGTACCTAATGCACAACCACCAATCATCTGTCAGTGAAGGCTTATCTGTTGCTATGATAGTGAAGTACTTTTGAATATCAGCCAATGAAAACTATGGATTACAACAGCCTGCCGTCAATCATGGGGATGGTACAGGATCAGGCAGCATTTTATTCCATTGTGCAAGGGGCCACCATGAGTCAGCGTGAACTGAAGGGCAGCTAACAACATATACTAACAACATATATTCTCAAATGCTTGACAAAAGAATAATCCCTCACAGACATCCTGATACTAGGGGAGAGAGATCCAATAGAGCTACTACCTCAGGACCATAGTACTGGGGTACACCAGACTCAACTGGCACAACAAAATACATAAAAGCATTGCTCCACATCCTACATTGGTGAGTAGCCACTGGGGTCTTAAAAGCTTGCAAGCAGCCATCTAAGATGCTAAGATGCTAAGATGCAGGTAATGGTCTCCTAGCATCAGAAGTGAAGAAGAACGCAAAAAAAAAATGGGCATTTAGAATCAAAAATGGGCATTTAGAATCAATCAGCCCTAGGACACGATGGGACATGATGGCCCTTGAGACCAGAAGAACTGGATGGTACCCAGCTACCAATGCCAACCACTCAGAAAAGGATGAAATCTGGTGAGACTCCCAACACTATGGCCCTGAAATACATTCGGTACCTGGACTAAAACTCACCCCCAGGGGCAGGCTCTCGGCCCAGTAGTTAACAAGATGTACACGCAGACCACTCAGCACAGGGAGAGGGTTGCAGGGGAGGAGACTGGGTTAGGGTTAGACATGGGGAATGAAATTAAATGTACACATGACATTGAATGTAAAACAAGCTCTTAAAAAAAAGATGTGGGACATGGTATTCTCTCTGCTCCCTCTTGTAGGATACAGAAGTTTCTAATCAGATTACCCTTGTGGAAGATGTTTTAGCCAAGCTGTGTAAGACCATTTATCCATTGGCTGACCTCCTAGCCAGGCCACTACCTGAGGGTGTTGATCCTCTAAAGCTTGAAATCTATCTGACTGATGAAGACTTTGAGGTAAGTGTTTTTCATTTTCAGGTAGGATAGCACTTAAACAACATGCTTAGTCCAAGAGTCCTTTTACTCACCCACTGGGCATTGTCTTTGAATTCCTTAGTTTGCACTAGACATGACACGAGACGAGTACAACGCATTGCCGTCTTGGAAGCAAGTGAACCTGAAGAAAGCCAAAGGGCTGTTCTGAGTGCCGATGTTGTCCTCGGGAGAGCATGCTGGAGGAACCTCTGTTGTCACTTTCAATACCATCATCGGACAGTAAAATGGAGTTTTTGGTATTTCTAAATTTCTAAAAATAAAAAATATATATATTTTTTTTAATCTGAGTTTTCAAAACCTGAAATTATTTGCTACCTGCTTGTCCTAAAGTTGTGTATTTTGTAAATGTTGAAGAGAACTCATTGGAAACTTTCCCAGATTCAACAGGTAATAAAATTATCTTTTATGTGCTCTTAAGCGGTGGTTCCTCACAACTGCTACACCACTGTCCCCTTCCTTCAGCTAGTCGCTGCCTTTTTTTTTTTGAAGCAGTTCTCTAAAGTGTTATTTTGATAGTTTGTGGATTCTAAAATATATATATATATATATATATATATCAAGTATGTATTTAACAAAGCAATATGTATTCATTCACTTTGAAGAGTTTTTCTTTTGGTGTCAAAATAATATTAAAAGGTAGATGGAGTTGCTTCTATTGAATTAGCTCTGCCACCAGTATGTATCTTTATATATATTCAGAAACGTTTCCTTCAGCATTAGGGATGACTTGTTCTGAGTACTGCTTCCGGTGCTAAAATGAACAAAGAATTTGTACTGAATGACATAGATTCTTAAGAATCTATGTGAATCAACCTTTCTACCTTAATATCACTCCAAAAAAAATGTATAGTGCCTTGTTTTTATGTACAGTTTGTATACAGAGAAGTTTGGTCTGCGTTTTTGACGATGGTTTGGAATATTATCTACAATTTTACTCTAAAATAATAGGAAAAAACATCTCAATTTCTAATTCCTGTTGTAAACATTAAACATGTCTTTTGTGTTATAGGACTCCCAAATAAAAGCTTCAGAATAAACACAACAATTGATTGATTGTTTCACATTGAATTCCAAGCATCTTCCTTTCTGAAAAATATTTTTTATAAAAGGTTAACTAAGAACCAATATTTTGCCATTAAATATTAACTGCTGTAACTTTGGGTTTAGTTCAGGACAAGATTTTATGCAAAGTGATTGATAGGATTAAATAAACAGATACTGACCCATCAAATTAGTTCCGAGTCCTATATTGAAGGCTTACTGTCTTTAGTTACCTAGTGGTACCATTAAATACACATACACAAGTGGGTGGGTTTAAAGAGTAGAAACATTTTCTCACAGTTCTAGAGGCTCAAAATCCAAATCAGGGCTTTGCCCATGTTGTTTCCTTCTGTGTGCTGCTCTCCTAGTTTCTGGTGTCTGCCAGCAATCCTTGGCATTCTGTGAAGTTCTCTCCCCTCTGGGTGTGTGTCTTTTTTATCGGTTCTGCTCTTTTTATAACTCAGAAGTGATTCATTTTTGGCCCCACCATAGTCTGATATGCTAAGCAGAAGGCTGGTGGTTCAAACCCACCAGCCACTCCTCAGAAGGAAGATGGGGCAATCTGCTTCTGATATGACCTCATTAACATAACAAAAGAAAATCCCCCTATTTTCAAACTCACAAGTCTAGAGAGGTTAAATTTTCAACATTATGTATTGTGGCCTCCCTGCTGATAAGGGTCATGCTTTGAAGTTGACAAAGAGTTGTTTATGTAAGCAGAGGTTTTTCAGACAGGAGAAACTAGGAAGATAGGAAGAGAAGCAGCAGAGAGAAAGAAGAGGCAAGGGATCTCCTAAAAGAGCTATAAAACAAGCCAAGGTCTGTAACACTGAAGGTGGCGACAGACCCATAAGGGGCCCTGTGGCCTTCAGTGACAGACAGAATGATCAAGAGGAGCCTGTCCTGCTGAGAGCAGCATAGACAGCTGTCCTGCACTGAAGAAGGGTGATTTTGCCTATGTGCTTCCTGATCCTAACCCTGAATTATAGCCTGTTACTCTGATCTGGAATTGTATCCTGCTCAGTAACAATAATCCATGGCCATCAACTCAATTCTGACTCATAGTGAGCCCCATTGGGTTTCCAAGGCAGTAAATCTTTACAGAAGTAGATTGCCTCATCTTCCTTCCACAGATCAGCTGGTGGGTTTGAGCCACCAACCTTCTGGTTAGCAGTCAGATGCCTTAGGTACTGTGCCACCAGAGCTCCCTAGGGTTTCCAAGGCTACGATCTTTATGGACGCAGATTGCCATGTTTTTCTTCCATGGAGCAGCTTATGAGTGCAATCATTTTATCCTTTCATTTAGCAGCTGGGTGCTTAATCATTGTGTCGCTAAGACTTCTTATACCCTGTTATTCCTTAACAAACCATTTCACTCTAAGTACATTCATCAATTCTGTGAGATGTTGCAGTGAATCACCACACTCATGCAGGGGAGGAAAGAGTGCTAAGGGGAGGCAGAAAGGCCAGTGGCAGAGAAGGAATGGTACAGCAGCTCGGAGAATGTGGAATCTGGGGTATATTTGACCTCTGCCTTGTAGGAAATGGCTTTGTGCTGATTCTTATATTTGAAGTTATTCATACAATACACAGTTTCCAGAGGAGTGGAACTATTGTCTCTTATTTGTTCCCCTGGGGCAGTTCCCCAGGTCAAAATCAGAGACAGGCTGCACAGGAACACACTTCTTTCTCACCTCCTGTTAAAATGTCTAGGAGCTTTGGTGGCATAGTGCTAAGGCATTTGACTGCTAACGAGAAGGCTGGTGGTTCAAACCTACCAGCCACTCCTCAGAAGGAAGATTGGGCAATCTTCCGTAGTGATACTGACTCGGAAACCCAAGGAGGGGTCGCTATGAGTCTAGTCCCACTTGACAACACATAACAACAACAACACAGACCTTCTGGGGAGCTCTGGTAACGTAGTGGCTACAGCACAAACCCACAGCCACTCCTCAGAAGGAAGATTGGGCAATCTACTTTTGTAGAGTTACTGCCTTGGAAACCCAAGGAGGGGTTGCTCTGAGTCGGAAACAACTCAATGGCAGGGAGGTTTTTCGTTGTTGTTGTTGTTAAAATGTCTGCCCAACTAGAGCTCACATTTTTGGTGGAGAGAGATGCATTCCAGAAACAGCTCTGGCATATATTTTAGTCCTTAAGTTTTTTGTTTTGCTTTTTTTAATTCTCTTTTTCTTGCTTATAGAAATAATGCTTGCGTGTCCACACAGTCACATGTACACAAATATTCATAACAGCGTTCACAGCCCATGTGTCCATCAACAGATGAATTGATAAACCAAATGTGGTATATCCATACAATGGAATCCTATTCCACAATAAAAGGTAACAAATACATGCTACAACATGGGGGAAAACCTCAAAAATATTAACTGAAAGAAGCCCGATTTGAAAGATGACATATTGTTTGATTCCATTTCTATTAAATCTCCAGAAAAGGCAAATCTGTATAGACAGAGATAGAGCAGTAGGGGGATAGGAGTGGGGTTGACAATAAATGACAAAAGGATACTTTTTGGGTGATGGAAATGGTCTAAAACTGGATGTAGGGTTGGTTACACACTATAAGCATATAAAATTTATAAATCACACATTTACGATGGTGTATTATGTAGTATATATATTATACCTTAAGAATGCTGTTTTTAAGAACAGCAACACTTGGTCTATGTGAAAAATGCAAACATTACAGCTATGTATAATTTAGGAATTGAAAATCATATATAATTCCACTTCCCAGATACAAGTACTTTAATAATTAGATTTATAATCTAGATTTGTCTTTATACCTATTAACATAGATGTGTTGGTGTTGTTATGTGCCATCGAGTCGGATCCGACTCAGCGACCCTTCCTTGGGTTTCTGAAGCAGTATCACTACGGAAGTAGATTGCCCAACCTTCCTCCCAAGGAGTGGCTGGTAGGTTTAAACCACCAGCCTTCCGGTTAGCAGTCAAGTGCCTTAGGCACTTGGCTACCAGAGCTCCTCGACATAGATGTGTATGCTCATATTTTTAAAAGAAAAACAAATTGTTCTCCATCCTCATGTTTCTGTTCACAGTAGTTCTGGATATAGATAGACCCTTGAATGTTTGCTTTTGTGTGTTAGGTTCTGAGGTGACAGGAGGCACAGTGTGAAGACCTAAGTCACCGCTTGCATGTGCCCTCGTAGTGCCAGCCCACACCCCCATCAGCTGTTACTCCTTGCTTGTTGAGGATGGGTAGCATTGAGCTAGGGGCTAAAGAGAGAAAATTGGGTGATTCGTTTTCAAAGGCCCTTTTGAGCTTTACACAGAGTGAAAACCAGAAAACTCAACAAGGGCTTCTGTACAAAGTCTCCCTGTGTATAGTAGTGTTGAGGGTAAAAGCCAGGAGGGTCAGTAACAAAGACATTAAAAATTAAGTACCACTTAGGTTCTTCTCACACATCATGGTAAATGGTTCAAAAGCAAGTAATTGAAAATTGGTTGTGTTGGTGTGGTATTTGGCCCAACAAAAGCTTCCTACTTAAAAAAAAAAAAAAAAATGCATTGCATGCACATGCTCTCTCCATATCAAAGAAAGGATATCATTGGCTGCCACCAACTACCTGTACTAGATGTACCCCTAGGGGTAGACCAAGAAGATGGATGTGCACAGGAACTGCAGTGGAGACCTCCTGTTCCTGTACTCAGTTCCTTGGATTTGGTGTATATGTTAAGCTCATATGGAAGCATCCCACAGGTTTCACCATTTGAATGCACAATGCATAATGGTGGTCCCTGAAGAGAAACAGGGAAGGAAGATGTATGGACTAGTGCCCCTCATTTCTATTAATAAACTGGCCCTCCACTGAGCTTTTATCTTGTGCAAATGAGATTGAAAAGAAAGCTCCAGGAGCAGAAATGATAGCAAGCTGATGGTAATGGAGGGCCCAGTACAACAAGTGGCATGCCTCCATGGTCTTCTCAATGCTATAGGAAAGTGCTCTTGACACCTCATGCCATGAATTCTAGAAGTCCCTTAAAGAATATATTGGAATTGACTTGCATTATCAGGAAATAGACATAAATTGTCTTTTCAAATTTCACTGAATTATTAAGTCCAACTCTA